CAGGCAGGCAGGCAGGCAGGCAGGCAGGCAGGCAGGCAGGCAGGCAGGCAGGCAGGCAGGCAGGGCAAGCAGGCAGGGAAATGATAGATAGATAGATGATAGATAGACAGACAGAGAGAGAGAGAGAGAGACAGACAGACAGACAGACACTATAGATAGAGATATATGATTTTGTAGCAGCTACAAATGCTGAACAATTATCTCTATCGTTCTTTTAGTATAGCCAATGTATAACACATATTTCAAAGGAATAGACAACCGGCGCTAATTCATAGTTGCACAACCAACACCGCAAAGATATATCATTAAAATTTGGACATGGGGTGACGACAAAAAGATTGCTTAAAATAATGTGAAGTTTCTCATGAAATTGTCCAGATGCCATAATTCCTCAAATTACTATACATTAGATTTGTGCCAACATGCTAATTGAGGGATGTGCAATGTGAGTAGCCCCAATTCCTCCTTAAGGACCCTGGAATTCCCTCAATTATACTTAGAATTCATTGAATCATCATTTCTTATCATTTTAGGCAAGAACAATATGCCAAAAATATAAAACTGTATTAATAAATCCAGGCCTGCTCAGGTGTATAACATGACCATCATTGCCCTATCTACTGCAGCTTTCCATCTTCATGGAAAATGGTAAATTGACCCTGCACACCAAAATTTGTCTCCTCTATTGTAACTCAGGTTTACTTAATCATACCATACTGAATTAACCCAGTTCCTTCATTTTTTCAGCACCCTGGACCATAAATTACATAGCTACTAGGGCTTAATTCAAATGACATCCTGGGCTGCAAACTAGCCATCGGATTTTTGCCTTAAATCTTGTAACAAACCTGGCCCTTCTAGTTGTATATATCATGCTAAGTGATAGGCTTGCTTTTGGTGCAAACAGAGCCATCATGGTTTGTTAAACTACGATTTATAAGTTATCATTTTGTAAAAAAACAAGCACTATGACAACACGCCAAAGCAAGTCAAAAGTTTATTATAAGACTACTGCAGCCCCGAGTCTACTGTAGCATCACAATAAGATTAAATCTCTTGAATTCAGTACTGGACACTGTGTACGGTAGCTCAATTAAAAAGAATTATTAAATGTGCACATGTCTTTTACATTAGGTTTTCCTGGCCTAAATGGTGAAAAGGGTTCAAAAGGGGATCTTGGGCCTGCTGGACTACCAGGAGAACCAGGAATGAAAGGAGAAACGGGGGAGATGGGATTACACGGTAAGACAAATTATTAACATTTTGAAGTGAGAAATATTTTCTTCCTACCTATTCTTAATAGCAACAGCAATAGCACTTAGACTTATATACCGATTTACAATGCTTTATATCCCTCTCTAAGTAGTATACAGAGAGTCAGCATATTGCCCCCCAACAATTTGAGTTCTCATTTTATCAAACTTGGAAGGATGGAAGGCTAAGTCAATCTTGAGCCTGGTGAAATTTGAACTGCTAAATTGCAGGCAGCTGGTAGTTAGCAGAAGTAGCCTGCAGTACTGCACTCTGCGCCACCATGGCTCATAATGGAATGCAATTCTGCTGGTGCTATGAGAAGAGAAAGAGGTAAATGATAAACTAGCCTGATTCTGTGAGGTTCTTGGTGTTGTCAGCACCTCTTCATTGAGTAATTAGGAAAGAAGACCACGAGACTCCATAGGTAGAAATCAAGTGTACTTTTACTGATTATAAATAATTAGAGGCATAGCAAAGC